TTTCAGTACGACCTCATCGACAAGCAGATCGAGAGGTTCCGAACCAACGAGGCCATTGACTATGAGGATATGTTTGAGAGGGAGAACAGCAGTATCAAGGACAGCGTGGAGGGGGAAGTCAGGGACCTCAATGACCCAGTACAGATTGTTGACGCTATTCAGCAGCGGCTGAAGGGGAGTAAAACGCAGGATTACTTCATCTCGGCTTTGCAGCATTTGCTTCTAATCAGGGAGAATGATGGCGAGGAACGGTTGCGCATGTTCCAGCTGGTGGATGCCATGTTGAGTTATGTGGCTATGGATCGGCGTCTGCCGGATATGGACCTGAAGCAAAGCCTGAATTTTACTGTGCAAAACCTTCTCGACAAGCTGCATACCGACTCGGAAGCTCGACAGGCTTTCGATGAAGCTACTGAGCAACGGCGCATTGCCGAGGCTGCCCTGGCAGAGCGCGATGAGCTTAGAGAAAGGATAGCGATGGGCGCCGATGGCCTCGTGGCCAAGCTTCAGAAGCAGATTGATGAACAGGCCAGGTTTATCGATGCTCAAAGACGACAGGCCGAGGGTCTCAAGTCTGAGATGGATAACCTCCAGACGCTCAGAGCGAAGGAGGCCCAGCGTTACGAGTTGGAAACACGCGAGCTGTATCTCATGCTTCGCGATGCCCAGGATGTTGCTGCTTCCAACGCTGCCAAGGGTAGCAAGCTCGGGGAGGAGGATCCAGCTGCCATGCAGGGCATTTTGGATCGCGAGAGGCTCATGAGCCGTCTTCAGATGCAGCTTGAGCGGCAAAAGACGGTGTATAAGCTGGAAGGCAGAGTCTGGGGAGAGTCTGTGGGTCCATCAGACAGACTACGTGCTCTGCGTGAGGAGATGGATGGCTTTGGCGGTGCGGCTGATCATCCTGACGGTCCCGCTCCCAGAGACTTCACCAATAGCATGCTCGGCAGTGTCAAGAGGTCAACCAGGATACCGCGGAAACCTCTTGGACCTCGTGGTGAGCGGCAAGCGACAGAGGATGACGTACTGGAAGAGGATATCAATGAGGAAGATGATGCCATCATTATCGAGAAGCCTCGCCTGGTTGAGTACAAGCGGCCTGTATTGGATCCCAAGAAGGCTGCTGGCATGTTCAACGAGCTCCAGGGCAAGGTGCAGCGATACGATGCCAGTGACTCCGAAGACAACGATGGCATCACTACCGGTCCCTCCCATCCAAGCTTGGAGGCACAGGCTCCTGCTACTCCCAGCGACAATGAGCCGCCCAAGATTCGGATCACGGACACCACACCAGCGGCTCCTGCTACTCCCGGCCCGGCTGCTGGCGGTCCTCCACCACCGCCTCCTCCCCCCCCCCCGCCCATGCCCGGGAGACTTCCGGGAGCTCCTCCACCAATTCCAGGTGCTGCTCCTCCAGCAGCCGGCGGCCCTCCTCCGCCGCCTCCACCGCCGCCTCCCCCCATGCCTGGCAAACTGCCCGGTGCTCCCCCTCCGGTGCCGGGTGCTGGTGGGCCACCACCTCCTCCTCCGCCACCTCCCCCTCCTCCCATGCCCGGCACGGGCGGCATGCCTCCTCCGCCGCCACCGCCCCCGCCTATGCCTGGTATGAAGGGTATGCCGGCACCTCCACCACCGCCCATGCCTGGTGGAATGTCAGGCCACTTTCTGTCCCGAAACCAGAACCTTGCTCCCGCCGGACCCTCTCTCGGCTTGTCGATTGTTCGGCCTAAGAAGAAGCTCAAGGCTCTCCACTGGGAGAAGGTCGACTCACCACTCACCACCCACTGGGCCGCCCACACCCCCTCGGCCGAAGACAGAGAAGAGAAGTACCTGGAGCTTAGTCGCAAGGGCATTCTGGACGAAGTCGAGAAGCTGTTCATGGCGCGAGAAATCAAGGCTCTCGGAGGAGGGCAGGCCAAGAAGGACGACAAGAAGCAGATCATCTCTAACGACTTGCGTAAGGCTTACGAAATTGCCCTCGCCAAGTTTTCTCAACTGTCTGTGGAGAAGGTGGTGCAGATGATTATCCACTGCGATCCCGAGGTTCTCGACAACCCGGTCGTGATGGACTTTTTGCAAAAGGAGGACCTGTGCAACATTCCGGACAGCACGGCCAAGCTGTTGGCGCCGTACAGCAAGGACTGGACGGGGCCCGAGGCGGACAAGGAGACGCGCGAGCAGGATCCGGCGGAGCTGACAAGGCAGGATCAGATTTATCTCATGACTGCCTTTGAGCTGCATCACTATTGGCGCAGCCGGATGCGCGCCCTGTCGCTGACGCGCAATTTCGAGTCGGAGTATGACGAGATCACGGAAAAGATGAGGACCGTGGTTGGGGTCTCGGAGTCGCTTCGGGACTCGGTCGCGTTGATGAATGTTTTGGGGCTGATTCTTGATATCGGCAATTACATGAACGACGCGAACAAGCAGGCGAGGGGGTTCAAGCTCTCGTCCTTGTCGCGGTTGGCGATGGTGAAGGACGACAAGAACGAGTCGACGCTGGCGGACCTGGTGGAGAGGATTGTCCGGAACCAGTACCCCGAGTGGGAGAACTTCACGGGGGATATCAACGGGGTGTTGGTGGCGCAGAAGATCAACATTGAGCAGCTGCAGCAGGACGCGAAGAAGTATATTGACACCATCGCCAGCGTTCAGAGGAGCTTGGACAGTGGGAACTTGTCGGATCCGAAGAAGTTTCACCCCCAGGATCGGGTCGCGCAGGTTGTGGGACGGTGCATGAAGGATGCGAGGAGGAAGGCGGAGCAGATGGAGGTTTATCTGGAGGAGATGGTCAAGACGTACAATGACATTATGGTGTTTTATGGGGAGGATCCGACGGATGAGAATGCCAGACGGGATTTTTTCAGCAAGCTGGCGGGGTTTATTAATGAGTGGAGGAGGAGTCATGAGAAGAATGAGGCTTTGGAGAGGCAGAGGAAGTTGAATGAGCAGCAGCTGAAGAGGAAGAATGCGGCGATGAAGGCGCTGCAGGATAGAGAGGGGGGAGGGGGAGGGCGTGCAGGCTTGATGGATTCCCTTGGAGCGGCGCGTAAAAGCCAT